TACAGGGGAGTATCTGAAAAGAGAGCATTGGCTTTGGAGCTAGAAATATCTAAGTTTGCACCCAGTTCTTCCTCCTCTGACTGGGAAACCTGGCTCAAATTACTTAAAGTCTCCATGCCAACTGTAAAAAAGAAATAGCATACATGTGTGAGAGTTTTGTGTGACTAGACTTACCGCAGTGGTCCTTTTGCAGAGTGAACAAATAGCAAATCACTATGTTCTACACCTGAAACTAATATAGCGTCACATGTCAGTTAGACCTCAGTAAAAATGTAAGTTTAAAAAAGAGTTGCTGTGTAGATAAAGGTACAGTATGTCACATACTTAGCTAAATATCTGGAACAAAGTCCATATTCAGTAACTGGACCTTCTTACTCTATTGGTAATACTTCTGTGACTTCTGAGCCTGACATCACACCTACTGCTGTTATTACTTCCACTAGTACAACCACTAGGAAGTCACTGGATCCTACTCCTTTGGCCAATGTATTATTAGTGGTCATATGTCAACTGTAATAATTCAGAATCTTCGAATCTATACACATAGGCCCACTAGGCTAGCTAAAATATGAAAAAGTAAACAAAAAACGACAATAGTAAATGTTGGTAAGGATGTAGAGAAACTAAAACCTTCATATACTGCTAATGAGAATATAAATTGGGGCAATCACTATGGAAAACATTTTATGTCAAAGAGTTACCGTATGACTCTCAGCCGTTCTACTCCTAGAGATATATACCCAAGAGAAAAGAAAACATGTCCACCCAAAAACATACACAAATGTTCACAGCAGCATTATTCAAAATAACCAAAAAATGGAAATGACTCAAATGTCTATCAATGATGAATGGATTAACAAGATGTGGTAGATCTACACAATGGAATACTATTCAGAAATAAAAAATAATGAGAGCTCGCTGCTGGGCAGGGAGCCTGCTTCCCTTCCTCTCTCTCTGCCTGTCTCTCTGTCTGCTTGTGATCTCTGTCTGTCAAATAAATAAATAAAATCTTAAAAAATATTAGAAATAAAAAATAATGAAATATGTATACATGCTACAAGATGGATGAACCCTCAAAACATCATGCTAAGTGAAAGAAGCTAGGTACAAAAGATCATATCTTATGTGATTCCATTTATAGGACATGATCAGAATAGGGCAAATCCATAGAGACACAAAGTTGACTACTGATTGCCAGGGGCTGGGAGGAAGTGTAGACTGAGGAGTCATTGCTAGGGGTATGAACTTTCTTTCTGGGGGGGGATGATAAGGTTCTAAACTTAGATAGTGGTAATGGTTGCACAGCTCTGGGAATTAAATTCAAAAATTAAATTCAAAACCAGTGAATTTTATGGTGTGTGAATTATATCTCAAAAAAGCCGCTTTAAAAATAGAATTAATCAAGCACACAGGGCAACTACATATCTGGGGAGTGGCAGAAAGGAAAAATGTGAGTCTTCCAGATGTGCTTCACTCTGCCAGGGAGTGCCAGAAGCACCACACAAATCTCCTGGGAAGACCGGCAATGTGGGCCCAGCACAAAGGACAAAGTAGGGTGGGTGAGGAGTGAACTTGGTCCCCACCTTCCACACCCGCTTTCCCATCATGAAGTGGGATATTTATGATAACAAGCAGAACCTAAGATGAGAAGGAGTAGGAAGATTATAAGCTCTAGAGTTGAAAACCTCTGGGCAAAAGCTGGGGTATAAACCCGGTTCCCCACATTCTAGTTTGTAACCTTGGACCCATTAGTTAACCTCCCTGGCCTTCAGTTTCCTCATCTACTACATGAGTCTGATAACCGCACCTCGTGTCTCACGGTTGCTGTAAGGGTACCCTAATGCACAGGGAGCCCTTATAAGGGTGTCATCTGATACAAACTACTATTGTTGTCATTATCATCTCCACTGGCATTGTTGTTTGCTGCAACAGGCTGACTCTACTCTCCAAAGTCAGACGAGGGGCTGCAGCACCATCCCACAGACACACACCAGCCCTCCCAAGGGAACTCCAGTCATGCTCACCACGGTGCATGTCTTGTTCCTTCCCCATCTACTGATGACAACTACTTTGATGAGGCCTCTTCCTTAACACAGACAATAAAGGCACCCAAGGAGAGCAGCACCGGACATTTGCACTGGCAGGTAACAGCAGCAACCTGAAGTGTAGACTCAGGCACATTTTCAGGTGTTCTTCACTGAATGTTCACAACCAGCCGACAAGGTAGGCATTGGTAACCACATTGCTTTACAGATAAAGGAAAGTTCAAATACACTAAGTAACCACTAAGTCAGTAACAGTTAAAGAAGTCAGAGCTGAAATTCCAACTCAGATCTGTGCATCTTATGACACTTTCCAATACATTATGCTGAACTGGATTTCCAATGGAAGAGTAATTAGGAGAGGGATGAAGAATGAGGGAAGAGTACTTATTGACTAATACAATTATTTCACACACTCAAGTAACAAGATGCCAGAGTATATGCAATGCCATTTGTTTCTTCACTCACTCAATTCCCATTCAATCACACACATATTAAGCAACTATTATGTGCCAGTATCGATGATAAAAAACAGTCTTGGAAGGAAATAGACTTTAAAAGAGAAAATTATAATAGAAATTTTTTAAAAAATAAAAAAAAATATAGAAGAATATGGTCAGCACATTAGTAAATGAACAGAGGAATGTGCTTGAGAACAAGGAGATCAGGGAAGTGTCAACTGCGTTCCCAATGGCAGAGCTAGCCCCATCCACAGCCCTCAACTTCTTTAAACGAGAATTCAGAGGAGAATACCATATGCTCATTTTCAACGCCTTTCTCTCCTCTGGAACAATGATGAATGGAATTTGAAGCCAAACTTCCGAATCTTCTCTATGATTTGTTTCTATTTGGAAAATTGCCAGCCTACAATCCTTCCCCCTGTACCTCATGGGATAGGACAAGCATGGACCTAACTGGAGGACTGACTAGGGGAGGGTGCAGAATGGAGGGTCCATGGCAGAAGGGTCCATCCCAGGAATGGGCTGCAAGAGGGCAGAGGCTGTCTGTGAGACCAAAAGTAAGCCACACCCTAAGACATTTGTATCTATTTCAGGACTGATAACATTCTGACAGACTGAATGGTATGTGGAAGTAATTCATTTCACATTTTATAAAGCATATTTCGCAGGGCTGAGAGCGACAGCTGCATAAACACATCTTAATGTAGTTCTAAAATCCTAATGGGATCTCCACTGTGCTCACAACCACAGAGATAACACTTAAGGTTCTAATCCTGTCAGAGGGACCATGTACTTTCCAACTCTTTCTCTATAGCAAAGGACAAGGCAATTACCATGAAAGAGAAAGAATAAGGAGAAGATACATGAAATATTCCTTTGGAAGGACCAGCTAAATTCTCAGAGATTTGGAAGGATCAATGTTTAGATGGTAAATAAGAAATACACTAAATTCATTTTAGGAACTTAAGTTTTTTCAAATATTTTAAGGTCATGTGTTAACCCAATATGTTCATATAAATAAAGTGGCAAATATATCCAACAAATAACACAATATCTTTCTTACGAATTGGAAGAAAATAATCTGTCAATTGAAATTCTAAGATTTGATATACTATTAAGATCTAATTTTTCCTACAAATGCCATGATTTTATAATGAAAGTTAAACGAGAATTCAGAGGAAAAAAAACCCGAGGCTCATTTTCGATGACAAAATATTCCTGAATTTTGGGGTGCCTGGGTGGCTCAGTCGGTTCAGCTTCCAACGCTTGGTCTCAGCTCAGGTCATAACCTTGGGGGTCATAGGATCGAGCCTCATGTGGGGCTCCACACTCAGTGTGGAGACTGCTTGGGATTCTTTCCCTCTTCTTCTCCCTTCCCTCTCTCACACTCTTTCTCAATGTCTCTTTCAAATAAATAAGTAAAATCTTTAAAAAAAATTCCTGAATTTATAAATTATTTATGATATTCAAAAGTCATTCCCAGAGTAAGTGCTATAAGCATAAGCAATAAAGAACCACAAATAAGAATTTAAGCAAAATTCAATATAAAATAAAACATTAGAAACAAGATATGTGGGAGAAAATACCTATCATATATTAGTCCTGAATAGTGCTCAGCATAATTATTTTCATTTGTCAGAAGAATAAAAGATATTTTTTAATTCTTGGTAACCAATCGTGAAATACTCATCTCTAAATTTAACTAAAATGTATGTACTGATTATTCTTTATGAGATGAAACAGAAATTGTTTTCAAATTTGGCATATAGCAAATAAGATTTATTTTAATCATAGCAAATTGTATATCAAACTTAAATGCCTCTTTCTTGATGGTGCCTATTTAAAAGCAGTTGACTTGAATCTTTTTATTAGTATGAAACAAACTGTGTTTGGATGGAAAATCATTTTGAACTGTCATATGCTGTAGATTTATTAAATACAACAATGTTTAGCTGTCTATTAAGAAAATGGAAACGCTTCCATTTTAAGAAAATTTCATTTTGAAAATGTGTGCATTTAAAAAAGTAGATTTCACAATAAGGACAGTATGGAAATCTGTTCACCAGATATTTACTTCAAAAATCTCAATTTTTGTTTTAGCTACAGTGACTAAAGTCCTTTTGTTCATTTCTCTTTGATCTAACGAAGAACAGTAGAAAACAAAGCCTTGATTGTTCTTAAGGTATTTAATGACTATTAAAAAAAAGCTGATAATAGCAATAAAAGGAAGCTTTAAAAAAGAAAAAAGAAAAAGCATATAAAATCTAAACAGCAAACTCAAACAGGAACATTCTAGAATGCCTCTCAAAATCAGCTGTGGGCAAGCTACACATTCCCTTTGTCAGGTGCATGTCAGCTGGCCATCTCTCTACCCAGGAGCTGGGACTAGGAATGGTGTCAGTGGAAGTCTGCTCCTCCCACTGTGCCAAAAAATCAGAGCCTCGAGGGAGGGACGGGTACTGGCCAGGACAGCAGTGCACTGCTCGGAAGTGCATACCTTTACCCGCTGGTCATCCACATCGATGACTGTAGCCACGCGAATGAGCCTGGGGTTCCTTCTGTCCACTGCTTCAAGTCTCATGCTCGGCAGAAAACCGTGGGGTGTCCGCTGGAATGTCAGAAGAGTAAAGTTAGCAAAACCCAACTGCTCAGACACGAATGTTATCTAAAGTGCAATTGTTTTGACTTTGCATTCAGACCCTTAATACAACTGCAATTTAGGTTGAAAGGCACATAGGGCTAATGCATGTTATTTTATCCAATCTTATTCAAACTTGTGAGAGGAGAAAGAATTTTTTGGTAATTTCAAGATAGCTAAAAAGAGATTAAATCATAAATTCATTAAATGATCACAAGATTTGGAAAAGCTTCTAATTGATTAACTAATTGTTAAGTTTTTTCCTGAAATTAACTTAATAAATTAAGAAACTGTTGACTATTGTCACTGCCCAGTTTTGGAGTGTGTGACCCAGAGACAAAATTATTTAGTAAACAATTAGAAAGGATAAACATAATCCTTTATAAATCTAAATTTTAAAATAGATAAAACCTGAATGACTATCACAGTTAAACTGTTTTAAAATCATACCCCAATGTATTTAAAACCATAGCCTGTGCTTTTGTTACTTACCTGTAACCTAAGTATGTTAAAAACCTGTATTAATAAATTCAAGCTTTCTTCCAACTCTTAAAATGCTAGGAACCAGGAGTCTATAATGATGGACACTCAGAAAACACTAAAAAAAAACTCAATGGGAAAAAATACACTGGGACTTATGAAGTCACTGACCCCAAGGAAATTTAAATACCAAAATCAAAGTTGAAAGACATCTCAGACAGTGTTCATAGGCTGGCAAAAATTTCACTTCGAAAGCTATTACATACGAAAGTATTCAACTGACTTCACTGCAAATGAAAGTGCATTGAATTCCTCAAATCTAGAAATGGCACTAGAAAAATAAAACCTTCATGATTCATGAGTAATAAATAGTTAAATCTTTCCCCAGTACCTCATCTGTTTCTCTCCAGCTTTTGTGGAAGCATATTTTCTTCCAAAATGCATTATTACACTAAATGGAGTACATGGACTATAATTAGGCCTTTGATGCTTGAAAATCTTTCCGATCTCCCCAAGGTCACTGTCCCGGTAAGAAAGGTAACAGTTTCACAGTGCAGATACCAAAGATATATAGCTTGAGGTAAAGCCATAATAACCTTTGTCAGAGCCTGGAAGTTGCCTTTGTAACTAAATCATAATTTTGTTTTCTTGTAATTTTCTTCTTGGAAAAGTAAAATGAGTTTTGACAGAAAGCAAAAGAGAAAAAGATAATACAAGCAGCTGGTATTCTGCTTATTGAGTTTCTGCAATTCTCAATGTCCTTCCAAGCGCTCTAGGACTTCTAGCCTTCTTAATTTGGTTACTTTTCTTTTTCAAATCCAGCCTACTGTATAATCTTTTTTTAAATGAAATAACATTTTGTTTCAAACCCCTTGTGATCCCTAGAAAACTTTTCATAATTGAAATCGTATGTGGAAGCTCACTATATAAAATTCTGATTAAAGATGAGTCAGGAAGCCCGGAGCACACAAGTTGAAAGGGAGCAACTTGAAAACCACTTTAGACATAAAGATCTCTAACTATACTATCAATGCATTGTCTTTTACCAAATAATTTATGCTTGGTTCAACCCTGGAATAAATGTGTAAGGACAAATTTGTGCTTAAAAACTGGTGTTCTAACAAATGCTAAAAGCAATGTTTCCCTCAAAATGGATAAAACTAGAACACACACAGGCTCCATACAATTCACTGATTTTATCATGGTGTCCTGAACATTCAGACAGTTCCCGAGACTGTGAGAGCACAGAGTTCCCACTTCATGGATGAATACAGGCAGAAATGAAGGACCTCACCAGCTTCTGAGGTTGATGAGGTGACTTTCACTGCACTAGAGCGGGCTACCAGGCTTTTCCAGTAAGGAAACCATTGTTAACTTTTGTGTAGAGGAACCATTGTTAAGTGAATCACTTCCTTTGCAGTTTTAACTGAAAACAAGGCAAATTGGTTATGAACATAACACTCAACTTTAAAAAGAAAAAATCTAGAATAATTTAAAAACTGTCAAATGAAGTCAACATGTACATTGCTTAAAGGTGAGAGTATTCTCAGATACAAGCTTACCATTTTAAAAACTTTGGCAGGAACGGCATTCGTTTGAGTAGCTTCCAGATACTCTGTCCAGGAAAAATTTTCTGGATCAGGATAACCTGAAAAAATATATACACATATGAAAAGATTACACATTGACATTTTGATTCCCATGTACTATAAGACATCTGACCTACTATTAACTGAATGCTCACTATTTAATAGCCCCTGTGCTAAGAACCTCACATACATTACCTAACTTGTCTATTTGCACCTCTGAGAGGGAGGTTAAAGGGAGCACTCATTCATTGGTTTATTCATTCACCCAACAAAGCCAAGGTAAAATGGTGCTGTGCACACTTGGCAGAGCGAGGTTACACCTAGAAGTCCTCCTTGGAAGTTTGAAAAAAAACTTAGAATCACCGTCTGACTTCAGACCATGAACTGGTCATCTTTCTTTCTTTCCTTTTTTTTTTTTTTTAAGGATTTTATTTATTTATTTGACAGACAGAGATCACAAGTAGGCAGAGAGGCAGGCAGAGAGAGGAGGAAGCAGCCTCCCTGCCCAGCAGAGAGACTGATGTGGGGCTCGATCCCAGGACCCTGGGACAATGACCCGAGCCGAAGGCAGAGGCTTTAACCCACTGAGCCACCCAGGCGCCTTTGGGCACCTTTCTAATTCCTCCAATACCTTCAGTTCCTCCAATACTTCTGCCTCTATTAGGATTTTAGTCTCTTAATTACTTCTCTGTAATTGTAATTTCCCAGGTTTACCATTTTTAATTGCAATTAAAAAATGTATATTGGCATAAACCTGGCATAAAGCACTTTGTTTCAAAAAATTTCTAATTGGGTTTCTTGTTTCTCTTCACATTTGTGTTATTTTATTCCTAATTACATTATGTTACCTATTACTGTGCTGTTTTCTTTTTCCTTTAAAGGAATAAGTAGTTAGATTTGTTCATCAGCTCTATTGTACTCATTTCCCTTTTCTAATTATTTTATCTGCTGCCTTTACTCTTATTACTTTCTTCATATTTCTCTTAGGATTGTTTCTACTTGTCAAATTGAATTATAAAGAAAATTAATTTATTTTCATTTTTTAAATAATAGAAGCATTCAAGAATTATGAACTTAATCATTGTTGCCCTTGAATACAGCTTTAGACACCTGGACAAACTTTTATGACATATTTATTTTTCTCACTTTTATTTCTCAAAAATAATTATTATTACAATCTGTAATTGTCACCTTCATTTAGTCACTGGCTAAATATTTATTTAAGAGATATCTCAAAGGTTAATTTTTATAGATGTTTATTTAATTTTTAATTAACTTTTTTAAAGATTTTATTTCTTTATTTGACAGAGAGAGAGAAAGAACACAAGTAGGCAGAGAGCCAGGCAGAGAGAGAGGGGGAAGCAGACTCCCCACTGAGCAGAGAGCCCAGTGCGGGGCTCCATCCCAGGACCCTAAGATCATGACCTGAGCTGAAAGCAGAGGCTTAACCCACTGAGCCACCCAGGGGCCCCAATTTTTATAGTTGTTTGAAATATTAATAATAGTATCTAGTTTATCACATTTCAGTTTCAGAATGTCACATGGTCTGCATAATTCCTGTTTGAAGACTTCAGGATTTCTTTTTGGCCTAATATAGGATCAACAGTCAAAACTTTTCTTAAGTATATACAGATACAGACATATATGTTTTAATGTATAATATCAGTATGCATTAATCCAATATAAATGGCTATATTGTTCAAAAATCTGTTTATTTTTTATTTAAATAAAAAGCCTGAAGCAGTATACTAAAAGTTTTTCTACACAGTGTTCTATTTTCTGATAATTTTTTCTTCATAAACTTTTTACTAAAATAAAATATACTTAAAGAAAAATATACAAATCAAGTAAACAGCTTGAAAACTATTCACAAAATTAACATAGCCCTGTAACCAGAAGCCAGGACACCACCTCCTCAGTGTGCTCCCTCCCAGTCACTACCCCCTCTCCACAAAGGGAAACTCTCATCCTCTAAGATTAGCTCGGCTAGTTCCATTTTTTCCTTTGTATAAATGGAATCATACGGCATGTGCTCATTTGCGGTGGACAGCTTTTGCTCGGCACTCTGTGAGGTTCATGGGGACTGCTGTATGCAGAATGTTTACTTTCACTGATGTGTAGTAGTCCATTGGGTGAGGGTTTCACAATTTATTTTTCCATTTTGTTGGTGATGGTCATTTGGGTAGTTTTGATGTGGGAACTATTATGGAAAGTGCTGCTACAAACATTCTAGTACATTCTCTCGGTGACCAGAAATACACACTGCAGTTGGAACGCAACCAGGAGTAAAACTGCTAGATCATGGGGTATTTTGCTTCATATTTTGATGTTACATTGCTTAACACAGAAAAGGATATGTAATGTTCACTAGTAACTGTGCTTTTTATTAAACACAGAAAAAAATGTCCCTTTTAGACATCTTGATTGCATTTTGCATCAAATCCTTTTTTTTATTAAAATTAAATTGTATGCCATCCTGTTACTTTCTGTTTATGTTTTCTTGATAACATTTTCCCCATTTTTTTAAAAATTGTTTTGTTTCAGGTGCATCTATTTTAAACTTCTGAATGGATTTCGGAAAACATTTACATTCACTTTCAGAACTGGTTTGCTTTATCTCACTTCTATAAACATGTTTTAAGCTGGAATTTTTTTAAAAAAATCTCTCTTAGGATTCCCTTTGCTTTTTGTCCTTGTCTATATGTCCTTGTGACATACCTTCTGTTTCACTATTTCTATGCTTCATTTACTTTTGTAGCTCATATTTTTATATCTTTAATGACTGTCCAAACTCATTCCTTGTATTTCAAATCTCCACATTTCTGCATGGGTTCTGAATATGTCCATACCTTGCCCCTTCAGCACCAGGTCCCCTCCTCGCTGCTCCAGGTTCCCCACCAAGGGCCTGGGCAGCAGATTCCGTGGAATGGTGACTAAAGAAAGTAGTGTGCGGTGGGTTGAGAAACAAGTGAAGAGACTAAGAGAAGAAGCAATTAGGGTTGCCTGAGCCCCTTAAGGAAATCTAGAAGGGGACACCTGGGTAGCTCAGTTGGTTAAGCTACTGCCTTTGGCTCAGGTCATGATACCAGGGTCCTTGGATCAAGTCCCGCATCAGGCTCCTTGCTCAGCGGGGAGCCTGCTTCTTTCTCTGCCTCTGCCTGCTGCTGCTCTCCCTGCTTGTGCTCTCTCTCTCTTTCTCTGATAAATAAATAAAAGCTTAAAAAAGAAAGAAAAGAAAGAAATCTAGCAGGCTGCTATGAAAGAAACCATCTTTTCACCCTTTTTGTGATCAATAAGTAAAAATTTTAAAAAAAAGATGTCACTTTTAAATGTTTCTGAAGCAATAACTGCTTCTAATGGCACTCTCCAGAAATGAGTTAGGTTTGTACAAAAAGAGGAAAACATGTATTATTTACATTTTCCCTGTTCAATGAGCCTAAGAAGAGAAGAATGTCTCATTGCCTAGGGAGGCCTGCAAAAGCTACCTGCTCCTCCTGCCTTCCTCCAGGACCCCACCCTGAGTCCTGCCCCACCTTGGGGTAGGGAGGCAGAAGTGGGGCAACAGAGGAAGGGGCAGGAGCCAAATACCTTCACACAACTGTGTGGCAATGAGACAGAAGCTTTTCAAGTTTGAATTCCTTCTTGTTTCAAGAAATACGTGAGACCACCCCATGGAATAATAGCTGTTAACCTCTTCACTTGTCTCCAAGAAGCAACACCTAACTGGTTTCCCCTTATTAGTAACCTCTATACTGAGTATTGCATTTACACTAAGTCATTTATTCCTCACATATGCTGTGAGGCGTGCCTGGTCACCCTCATTTTGGAAGTGAGGATCAGAACAATTGTCTCTGACTCCATTATCCACACACTCAACCACTGCTTCCCCTAGTACCATAACCCAGAGCTCCATGGTCAAAGGAGGTCCATCCTCCAAGGACTCAGGACTGGGAGCGTGTGCTCCCCCTGAAGGCCAAGGTGTAGTATGGCATGGGTGAGAGTGGGAACATCACTGGATTGGATGCAGGCAGTTGATACAAATGAATTTGTTCACATCCCACCTCTTTCCACACTATTGAGACATTAACACTTCTGAGACGGGCAAAAGCTGAGGAAAGATGAGGTCCACACTGTGGCTGTGGGCACAGATGGCTGAATCAAACAAGGAAAATGTATCAGATATTGGAATCAAGGAACTACAAAGCAGGGCACTTGCCAGGCAGCCCCTGGATTTCCCCCAGGTACTGGCAGTTCTCTGGAGAAGAGGAAGACCCAGGTGACAAATATCTTCAATTAACGTTAGCAGATAGCTACGAGGCAACCAGCTGACAGCCAGAGGATGGAGGAGATATGGTAGAGTGGAAGAGCTCGAGCCCCCAGGGAAGAGAAGCCTCTCTAAAGAGCTGGGAGCTGTTCTAGGGGAAGCAACCCAACTATTAAGGGTACGCAGAATTTGCCTTCCCAAGAGGGCAATGAGAAAGCCCCGTGTGAAAAAGCTGAGAGACGGCGGTCAATCTCAGTGCTTGGAGTTACAAAAACCGGGGGTCAAGAAAAAGTCCGTGAAGAAGATACAACACATGGGGATGGGCACAAGAATGGAGAAACTTAAGGTCAAACCAAGTTAAATATAAGTGAAAACATACTTAAATCATGTCATTCCAAGGGCTATTGAAATCACTTAAGGAAAAGCATGTCCTTACCACTCCGCCCTCATCTCCCTTTCACTCTGCTCCTGCTTCAGGAGGGACACAGCCAACTTCCTCCCTCCTCAAGGACTTGTACCTGCTTCTCTTTCACAGGGAAGTTCTCCCCATGGACTCTGGACTGCCGACCTCACCTCCTTTAAGTTGCTTGAATATCACATCCTCAGTAAGTCCTTCCCTGAACTCCCTGTATATATACCCTCGAAATACATGTGCCTTTCCTAACCTTATTAACCTGTTTTATTTTTCTCCATAGCACTTACCACCAATTAACTTATTATACAAATATTTTACATATTTGTTCTCTCGCTTTATAGGGATATAACTGCCTTACAACAGGGATTTGTTCACCTCAC